GGCTGGAGGGGACGACCAAGACACACACTACCGACGCTACTACAAGATGATGCCAAGCGGATTGGACTTTCCTTGTCAAGCAAAGTCGATCTGGAGGCGTTCCGTGCCCTTGCTGCTGACCGAAGCGGTTGGGTGGGCATCTGTGCCCGAGTGGTGTCGGCACCCTAGTTTTTGTCTTCTTTTCGCATATTTCTTCTTTTTTTTGAAACTGTTATGGTCTTTTGTATCTATTCGAAGTGGCTTATGCGAACATTTTTGGCTGGTTTGCATGATTCGCATGCCCATTAATGCAGCTGCAGGCCATGCTGATGTCTACGCGAACAAGCACATAATAATAATAATAAATACACATATAAGCCATATATCAGCCTTTGTACAAGCCTAATATTATTAGGCTTGTACAAAGGCTGATATATGGCTTTCAAAACTTTTAACTGTAGTCCACAACACTGACGACCACGGCACAATACAGTGAAGCAAGAGTCGGAATACGAATCGCAACGATCAGGACTAGCTAGCAGATGATTGTACACTGAAGATTTTCTACTGCTAAACCTAAGAACAACACCAACACTCTTACAACTGCAATTTTTCAATTTTTAGGATTTCGAACAATATGCTTCCCATGATAACTTACAGAATCATCCACATGACCGAGTTGGATTGTACCAAGCTACTTGGATAATCATTTGCTGTGATTGTGGATTGTCCTGGGGTTGTTCAGATGAACTGTTTTATCCTTTACTGTTGTTCCATTTAGAATAGTGTTAGGTACATCCTCCCGTATGTTCTACATATTGCCGCACTCACTCGATCTCGCGCTCTCTCTTTCGTAATGCAGTTGCTTCGTTTGTCTTTGTCACCGTCTCTTCATCTATAATAAATGTCTTCCCAACTACCCGTTCCCGTTGTTCGTTGTTCGTTGTTCGTTGTGTCTGCGAGTATGACTCCTCTTCCTTATCAACAATAGCAAAACTATGGCTGTTGTTTTCGTCTTCATACCAGACTGGAGCGTCATACCACTTAAATTGAGAAGAACTAGTAGAAAGTCCAGAAAAGTAAAGCCACATGGACTGTAGTTTATGACTCGTGTCCATCGATGTTAACAGGCACAATAACTGCTGCATGCTGGGTGCACTGAGCTAGGTGAGAGTTGCTCTGTCTCACTCACGGCTCAGATTTTTGTGCAAGTCATTAATTTTTGTTCCTTGTTTCAGTGCATACTTTAGGCAGATATTTGACTTTGTCCAATATTCAATGAACGGAGGGTCCCTCTGCGAAAATATCATAGTGGGTCATGTAGGCCAACTAGTGAAAAAGAGATCCAACTTGAATGAATTTGGAAATTTGGCAGGTGATAGTTGGTCATTACAGAAATTCACTCATACACGTGATGATGAGCTAAATATCCAGATGTTGGATGTCACTAGAGCTATCAGCATTCTTCTGACTGTTTCTGACAATACAATGTCAATATGTGTAGAAACTAATATTATGATATGTACTTCCTCCGCTTAGCAAAACTTCGTTGCGTTTTTAGTGTTCTTGTAATGTAATTTCTGTCGACATTAGACATACATGTCAGTGATCTATCCCCTACATAGGGTAGCTGACGGTTGTCGTCCATTGTTCTGAATCTTTTGAACCTCCGAAAAGCGTGGAGACCTTTGAAAAAAATCAGCGAAGCAGAACCAATTCTCGACAGGATGTCACCAGAACACAACCCCAGGCAAGCGCGCATGACACCAAAGTGCGAAAATGAGAAACAGTTTGAAAGACCGCGTGGCTCGAAGAAGTGTCCAGGAGCCGGCCAGCGCTCATGCTGAGTCGATGGTGCGCATCCGCACACAGCCAAAATCAATGCACTTGTGTTCGCAGCGCAGGGGAAATCAAAAGCATTCGACATTCAGGTTGTTGTTCAGTCGGCGCAAAATCCTGATCTCAACGTCTACGGCTTGGCATTCTTCCACAGCCTGTAGACAGACGTGTCACTCGTGGCGAAAGAAACCAGAAAGGAGCTTCTGCAGGGTGTGGAAACGTGCTGGCACGACTACACAGCTGTGAAGATGGTGAGCGTTTGTTTGGGTCTGTATGGCTCCTTTCATGGCGTTCCGGAGAGTGGCCACAACTACCAGTGCCACCGTTGAGGTTGTCAAGCTCACATTTTGAGCGAAGAGCTTGGCGATCTCCACGATCAAAATAATCGTGTCTCGGAAACTTGTAAAGGCTGCGGAACAAAAATGGCAGCGCTGGCGGCGAAAGTCAGAGAGGATGCAGACTCAATGTCATCAGGGAGTGAGTTGTCATCAGATTGAGACGAAGAGTGAAGCTGGACTGCTTTTAAACGAGCGGTGTGACATCTGCAAGTAAATATCGTTCATATGCTGAATTGTTTTCCACTTTGCAAAGCGTGTTCATAGCCATAGAATGATTCGGACTGAACTGTAAAAACGCAACGAAGTGTTGCTTAAAGGAGGAAGTATTTGTTATGGTGCCATTTATCATGAGTGTGTCATGCCTCTTACTTCAATGCAGCATCATCCGTAGTTTGCTTCAATTTAACGGCAGGCGGAACTGGTCTGTACGATCCAGCCATGGCCGGACCAACTTTTTGGCCCAGATATTTTTCTTGGAAACATCACATCGAAAATGGAAAAAAACTGTCGATCAACTGATAGCTGATCCCGAGCACTAAAGCGTTAGTCAGAGAGTGTTTAGAAGTCTTTGAGCCATTGAGGAGTGGTAGGAAATGTTTTGAGGAGTGTGTAGGAAGTCGAGCTAAGATGTTACGACAATGAGTCAGCGGTACATTTGTGAAGAAACTGCATTCTCCCAATGTCGGAGCTCGCGCTTCCTGTCGACTGGCCTGAGACTTAACCGACTCACGACTGCGTCTGGAGCACTCGAAAAGCCCGTTGTACCCGGGAAGTTACGTTTTTGCTTGTTCTGCCAAAATGTCCCTGCCAGCAGTGGCTGTCTACCCAAACTCGGCGTTTGAACAGTCGTGCATACATGCTCGTCTGACTGTTCAAGATGTGACTTCTGCAGGCTTCAATTGCATTTAAATAACTGGGTCAATGAACCATTTCGACTGTAAAACCGTTGTTTTTCTACTTCGTTGTTTCGATACAACCTCACAGCCAAACTCATACCGGGTAAGTGACAGGTTTTGGCCGTTGTTCCAGTGGTGTATGATTGACTAACTATATGACCCATACAAAATTGGTTGTGAGCCAGTGTTGCTCACAACCAATTTATTACTAGTCTTATGAAGCTGCGTGATGCATCCTACAAGATTTTATATGACCCATGATCACTTTAGGCATGGCCAGACCAATCCTTATCTGCTTCCACTCGGCCTACATTGTTCTTGTTCTGAGTTATGTTCTCATTTTAGTGCTAGTCGTTTCACTTTTCATCATTCTTTGAAATAGTTTATTTGAATTTTATTTGTTTCCCTGCCACGATCGCTTGTTGTGTTATTAATTTTCGTGCTTTCCGCGTTATCCATTTTACCAGCGCCTGCAAGGCTGCATGCGGAATTCGAGCGTGACTGATGATGTCATTGCTTATGTCTTTGTTGTGGATAGTCAGGTGGCTGCGTTGACATTTTTATTTTACCACCATTATTACACTTTGTGGACGACCACATACATCCACTCGCTTGCACACAACAGCAACAAGAGACTCCTTCCAGCAGTGAAGTTTTATTCCTTCTGACAATTGCTTCAATCATTAAGGCCTCGTCAGAGAAGTTTGAGTTGTTGAATGACTGGAAAAGAAATAGTCGCCTAGTTTATACTGTGAAGAAGATGTTGGTGCGACGTAAGTGATACTTGGGTAAATGTGTGTTGCTCCTTACATGGGAGCTTGCAATTTCCCTGCCAACTTGAATTCTCACTTGCCTAACTCACTACTGCCATCTAGAGTGCACGAGATGTCCATCGAACCTTCCATTCGTTAAAATATTATGTTATATTGGCACTTGAAATGAGAGATAGTGCGCTGATGAGCGTGCACTTGATACTCGAAGTGTGAATGCAAGGTGTTAAAATGTTAACCGGTTTCTGAAATCATGGGACACTCTGCAAAGAGGTGATAATTACTGCCGGATACTGCAACACAGCACGGATACAGCAGTCATGCTAGTACTTGTAGTTCACCTGGCATCAACCCCATGCTCTCCCTATCTACACTGCACCATCGGCTCTCTCTTCTAGCGCATGTCTCATTTAGCTCACGTTCATACAGTCATGGAAGAGGCAGTATACACTAGGTGATTGTTTCTTTTCAAGTCATTCAACAACTCAACCTTCTCTGATGAAGTCTTAGTGACCAAAACATCTGCCAGAAGGAATAAAACTTCAATGCTCGAAAGAACCTCTTGTGCCCTGTATTGGGCAAGTGAGTAGATGTGTGTCATCGGCTACAGAGCACAATGATGATGGTGAATATCAATGCAGACACTTTTAAAGGCCGAATGCTGTTTACACTGTGGTTAGTCACGTAGCTCATCTTGTCTTTGTTTCTTTGTTGGAGTTGCTGTTTTCTTCACTTCATGTTCAGATCTATTTCATGCACTTCGTGGAGGCTGTCGCTGCATAAGCTGCTTCAGCTACGACGAGATATTACTGGTTGTTCTGCCGCCCTTTGTATGCCTTGTTCCACGTGTCTTTTCCTGGACTAAGTGCTGGTGATTTTGTTCTTCCTCTTGTTCTTCTCTTTGTCTCTTCACTGCTAACTTGCATTATCTGTACTACATATTTTTTCTCCTAGAGGTTTTGTGTTGTCCTGGTGTTGTGTTGGGAAAAGGAGGAGTTTTAGAAAAAATATATGGCACCTTTCGCACCACACGTACAGATACGAAACAAATGCTGTACCTATTTACTTGCTCTGCTGTGAGAACAGAGAAAAAGTCCATGTTGGGGCTACTCATAGCAACCATCACATTAGAATTCTGAGAAATCTCAGCAATAAACACCACACAAGCAATAACTTACTCTCACACAACCGTTAGTGTAATCGATTACAGCATAACAAATACCATGCTGGGGCAGAGACAGTGCTGCAACAACAAACGAGTTACCGATAGCACCGTTACCAATCGTTTTCACGTAAGACCCATCCTGATGTAGGACCTGGAAGAGAAACACATTTGATTTCCACAACAACAAGGAATACAGTCAACAAAGAGGTGAACAGAGTGTTGGAGCAGGATTGATAGGCAATTGGACAGGGAGGATGAGAGTACAGAGGGGTACAACACAGGAAGGGAAGGTGCAGGCAGTTAGTTGAGATAGGAGAGTGTCAGGCAGTTAGTTGAGATAGGAGAGTGTCAGGCAGTGAGTTGAGATAGGAGAGTGTCAGGGAGTGAGTTGAGATAGGAGAGTGTCAGGCAGTTAGTTGAGATAGGAGAGTGTCAGGCAGTGGATGAGAGCCTTGTTACAGGCGTTATTTCTCACATGAGAAATTCAAAATATTAGTCCTCTGGCCTAATTTGTGTTATTTAGAACAATGTTTTCTTCCTGATGAGAGCTGTACAATAACTAGGTTTTTTGAATTTCCATCATTGTCCATCACCAACCGCTATACTATTATCCCCTTTTCTTCTTTGTCCATCACATAATTAGTGAAATTTTTCATGATTTGTTTGTTCTTCCAAGAAAAAAAAGCTTTCATACCAGGCAATTCGGCTTTTTATTATGATGGTGGTTCTACTAGAGAGGTTTTGCATACCGAATTTCGGAATGTTTTTCGACAGTGTTTTTCCCAAAAAAAGTGCGTGCCGAAAAACGGCATTTTCAGTGTTTTGCATTCCGAAAATCTGATTCGATTTCGTTTCCAAGGGTTGCCATGCAAAACAAAATGGAGGGAGTCGAAGGCGCCAAAACCGAAAACGTTTTACAACCGAATCTTGCATATTCGGTTTTGAGGCGTGCTGGTCCAACAGAAGCAGCGTGTGTTCATGGTGTTCTCTGACGGACTTCCTGGTGATACCAGCAAATTTTGGGTCAGACAAGGCTAGAACTTTTGCAGTCTCCTCGGATCCCACAGAGCCGCGAACAAAGGGGTTGAGCACAAAATACATGTCGGGGTTGCCTGAGCAGGATCAAATCCATGTGCAGGTCAAACTGAATCTGGGCGCGGTTCGAAGACGAGGACAGACTGATGGTGGACCGAGTGATCCAACGGCTGAAGACGAGATTGTCGAACTACTGTCTTGTACTGTCAGTAGGCTCCATGGCAAAGTATTATAGAGTGTGATGGAGTGTGAGAAGATCTAGTCAACATGGCGAGATCAGCGAGAGCAGCAAAACCAAAACTACACATGAGGAAATTTTTCAAATAATTATAATCAGCGAGACCAGCAGAAAACAAAAATACACACATGAAAAATATTCAAATACGTGTATGCGCTCCCAAACAGGAAAGAGCCGAAAATCCATTTTCGGAAAACCATGCATTTTCGCCACCACACTTCCAAAAGTTCAACTACATTTTCGACTCCTGCCGCCAAATTCCGAAAATAATTCCGAAATTCGGAATGCATAACATATAAGTTTCCGTGCATGGCACGGTAAGTGAAGTTAGCAACCCACCAACAATTACATTCCTAACATAATTTGCACGTACTTGCCATAGCGAATCACGTGCCCGTGCAGAATACGCACTCCGAACTCCCGCGCCCCGGCACGGGACCACGCGGAGCATGCGCATTACTCCGGCTCTCGATGCTGTTTCTTCTTCATCCTTGCTGCGCCAACAGTCAGATCGCTTGACAACCTTGGCCAGTGTTTTAGCAGTTTTTGTTTGAGCTTGAGCATTTTTGAGCATTGAGCACTTTCCATTTCCGAGCAACCATGTCTGAATCTCTGTCAATGAACGACGCCAAGAAAATGCGCTCTGTAGAGCTGCGACAAGAACTGGCGGCCCGCAATTTAGGCACGACGGGGACCAAACCCAGGCTGCTGACTCGCCTGCTCGAGTCATTGGAGTTCACTGCAGCGCGCGAGGACTTGGCCACTCAGGCAGCCGAGCAGAACCTACCCCAGGCAACTGCTGCTCCGTCCCTGAGGGACATTATCCGGGAGGAGGTCCGTGCTGCCCTTGGAAATCAGGCCGCAGCTCCAGCCCCGCCGGCAGCTCACACAGCGGCACCCCCACCGGCAGCTCACGCAGCGGCACTCCCACGGCAAGCACCAGCAACTCCGCAGGACGCTCTGCCTGCTCCGCATTTGGCGGCTGCCGTCTCATCGCCAATGAACCCCGCAGGTAAGAGAACGTTTTATGCAACCGTGCCGAAAGCCATTCACGATAAAGTAGTAACTGGCCAATTTGTTGAATTGGGCTCATTGTTGCCTAACCCGTCCCAAGGGGACACTAGCCGCAGCATTCTCCAGATCGACCACGACAGCTCGCACGGCGCAGTGGTCCTAGCACCGGCCAACAGGCCCTCCAGGAAGGTCGAGGACATCGACACCTGACTCGACGCCTGGACAACATACTGCGCGATTTACGCCACAGCACCCCCCCCCCCCCCCCCCCAGGGCCCCAGAGCTGTTTGCGTACCAGCAGATTATCCTGAAAGTAGCCCGGAAATTTCGATTTGAGGTCGTGCAGGAGTATGACCGATCATTCCGCTCACTCCTGGCCGCGGGCCCAACCATGCGGGGCGCAATAGTCCAGGACCTATACACAATTATATTTGACGCGCGGGCATTTCGTCCCTTTCGGCCCACCGGCAGCAACGACGCTCGTTCCTTTCGGCCCAACAGCAGCAACGACGCTCGTTCCCTTCGGCCCAGCAGCGGCAACGACATGGTCGACAAAGAAGTATGCCGCCTCTTCAACCAAGGAAACTGCGTCCGCTCCAACTGCTGCTTCGCCCACAGCTGCCTCTCTTGCGGCCGCCTCGGTCATGGCCAATCCACATGCTCTGCTGGCCAACCCCGCAGCTCCAATTAGCTCACACGCGCCTTGGTCCCCTGTAAATATTCCCCTGCTGTTCGAAAAGCTATCCCAGCACCCCGATAACGATTTTGTGCATTCTCTCTGTCACGACATGCGCGTCGGGGCCCGCATTGGCTATCACGGTAATAGATCCCGCCTCATCGCCCCTAATCTCCCTTCCGCATTGCTCAACCCTGCCGCCGTCTCTGCTTACCTTCAGTCTGAATGCACGCGTGGCCACATGGCCGGGCCTTATTCCCAACCCCCATTCCCTAATATCCGATGTTCTGGCGTTGGCATCGTGCCCAAGAAGTCTGGCGGCGTACGCCTCATCATGCATTTATCTGCCCCTAGCGGCTCTAGCATTAACGATGGCATTTACCCTGACGAATTCTCCCTGCATTACGTTACGGTAGATGACGCAATACGCTGCATCTTCCAGCACGGCCCCGGAGCTCTCCTCTCTAAGGTTGACATGAAGCACGCCTTCCGGCTCTGCCCTGTTTCCCCTGACGACTGGCCCCTACTTGGCATTTTTTGGGAAGGTTCGTGCTATGTCGATAAGGTACTACCATTTGGCCTCAGATCCTCCCCGTTTCTGTTCAACAGACTTGCCGACGCTGTGGCATGGATTGCAGTTGATAATTACGATATTGTTGATTTGCTGCATTACCTAGATGATTTCTTTCACGTCCAGCCGCCCAACTCCGCAGCTATGCTCAAATTCAAGACACTGCTGGCTGTATTTGACATGCTGAACATCCCATTGGCCGACGGAGAGGACAAAGTGTGCCCGCCGTCAACTTCAATAACGTTCCTGGGTATCGAGCTCGACACAGCCGCCTGGGAGCTGCGCCTCCCGGCTGCGAAACTGGCGGAACTACGGCTAGCACTTGCCGCGTGGCTGTCGAAGCCGATGTGCACCAAGAGGGAACTGCTGTCCCTGGCCGGTAGCCTGTCTTTCGCAGCCAAAGTCATTCCAGCGGGTCGCACGTTCTGCAGACGCCTGTTCGACAGCGCAGCAACGCTCCCTAGCCTAGATGCACCGGTAGCCGTACCTTAGGAGCCGAAGCTTGACATCCTGTGGTGGGACGCCTGCATCAGCCAATGGAATGGTCGGAAGCCCCTCATCGAGCCGTCCTGGAGCACAGCCGAAGACATCGGGCTGTACACCGACGCTTCAGGTCGACATGGTTTCGGTCTGGTTTTCGGCAGCAAGTGGTCCTATGGCGCATGGTCTCCTGACCAAGCTGAGCACACTATTGAATGGAAAGAATTGTACGCCGTGATGTTGGCCCTCTGTACCTGGGCACAAACGTTGGAGGACAGACGAGTGCTACTCTACACTGACAACGAAGCAATCTGCTACATCTGGCGCTCTGGCACGTCCCCAAATAGAGCGGTCATGGACTTGGTCAGGGCCGGCTTATTGAAAGCCGCCCAGCACAACATTGTCCTCCTGCTTCGCCACATCGCCGGACACGCCAATGATCTTGCTGATTCTCTCTCCCGTCTGCAGGTACGGCGCTTCCGGACCCTCAACCCAACTGCCGACGCAGCGCCTACACCACCAGCGCAGTCCACCCTCCATCAGTTGATGACGCAGCCATGGAGCTCATCCGTCACGGCCTGGCAGACAGCTCCAGCGCGATGTACGCTTCAGTGCAGCGTTCCTACGAACGCTTTGCTGCCCTACGGCAGGTCGTGCCGTACCCGGTGACGGAGCCCAGCCTGATTAACTTTCTGAATTGGAAATTCTCGTCCGGCTCGTCTGGCTCGTCTCTGAAACTCTACACCCAGGCGCTGAGACATCAGCACGTCCTGCAGGGCCTCTGCCTGGACGTTTTCGCCTCACCGCGTGTCCGGCTGCTCCAGCAGGGGGCGCTCAGATCCCAGACGGCAGTCCGGAAAGTGCTAACGGCCGCAACTTTGGACGATCTGGCTGGCGTACAGCACTACCTGCAGTCCACCGTGCCTAGCCCGCACAACCGCGCCATGCTCTGGAGCGCCGTGACTCTGGCCTTCCACGGGCTGCTCAGAGTCAACGAGCACACCTTCACGGCACGGGGCGCCGGCCTTGAGTACAGCGATGCGACCATGTACCCAGACCGCGTGGAGCTGCGCCTGCGTGTGACAAAGACGAGCCAATACGGCAGCGGCCAGGACATTAGCGTCAGGAGGACAGGCT